ATGCCATCTGTAATTTGCCGTGTAAAATTACTGTCAGGAATAACCCTTATATAGCCGAAAAAATGAGGAACAGCAAGCAGCGCATTAATTTATTAGGACAGGACCGAGAGCCAGTACGAAATGAGCAGCAAATCACAAAAAAAAGTACAAAAGAAAGAAACTTCAAGCTAACATTCTTTCTTGGCGCTATTGAACTTATTTAAAATTTTAGTTCTTCTGCTTGCCCCATGCTTCTTTGAATACTGCTACGATGCAGTTAAATCCGATCAAAACATTCATTTACTACGAAAAAACTGAGATTTAAATAAAGCGCATTTTTATCTGTTTCTAAACTGAAGAAAGCCATTGCTCTACCAAACTTATTTTTAGAACTGTTTGTTTATTTCTAAAACAAAAAATCAATGTCCACTTTATCTATAAACGCTTTACTCCTTATTCTTCGAAAAAGATTTAAGAATGAAGTATTTCCAGTTGAAAAGAATAACTTGTTCTTGAAAAGAAACTTTAATGAAGTAAAATTTCGCCGTTCAAGAAATATCTCATCATTTAAAGAAACCAGCCACGCAACCTAGTCAAACTCATCAGCTCAACGATGTAAATGAAACTTTTATATAAAACTTTTTGAAATCCTTCAAGAGACATACCAGAATGCCGATAATTTGGGGCCACAGACTGGACAAATTTTCCGCATCTTAAATATGAGCCTGTAATAACATTAATAAGACAACAAATTGATTGCGATTAATTTAAACAGTCGAACAAGGAACGCAGAGGCGCACGATGAAACAATTGACCGTAAATTTAGAACTGCAAGTAAGAATACATCCTTTGAGGAGGTTTAACGAATCTGCCAGACTTTACTTAAAATTTTGCAGCACTAGCGGCCTTGCCAGATCCAGAACTTTTACTTAATACGACAACCTATTACGTCTAATGTAAACAACATCGTAAGCAATTTTTTTAGCTTCGTTCCTGATGGCCGATGATGACAGACAACTAACAGAGGCGCTATTGTAACTGAACACACCAACCTCCAGAAAGCTTTTTCTACTGTAACCCTACCTTCGTTTTTGAGTATATAGTTTTTAACCCTCCCTCGATTCTTCTCTAGTAATTTCGCACTCGTCTGTTCATTTCTTGCTAATTTCGCGACATCAAGTGCTATAATTTAGTTTCAATCCTTACAGCCTCTCATAAAAGCTGCTAACGATGAAGTGCATTGTGACTGATAGCAGTTGCATTTCATAACCATACAATTAGGTTTCCACGGAAATTATCTGCCATTGTAAAACTTTTTATGGTTAAACCGTATCCGTAATGGACGCCTTTCAGTAAAACCAGTGGACGGAATCTCTGTTCAAAAACGGTCTTAAAGAGCGTTCAAAGTGGTTTTCACTAGTTCTATTTGCTTCTTTCATTTCACTATGAAATAAAAGGCAGAATGAAATCACAGACAGACCAGGTCTTTTTGGCATACATATAAGAATGTGTTTCCGAAGGACTTGCCCAACGACTCCTTCAGTCAACCCATACAGTGGATCAGTAAGTTCTACACACACAACCGAAAAGGTGTAGTCACTCAAGTTCTTTTGCGTAGATCAGAAATTGTCAGAAATGTGAGAACAATGAGCAGTACGAATACATGAGCAGTAAACTCTGTTTCAAAATTCCCAGGATCAAATCTAAAAAAAAAATGTACATTCAAACGCCACCAAAAAAGAGGTCTTATGAAACGTCAATCACAATGAAAATTTAGCAGCAAACTGTTAGATACTTTGCTGACAATGAAAAAAAAAAAAACATGTTTTGAGTTGGGCTCGTTTAAAAATGTAAGAAGGAACGTGAACAGACCCATTCAAAAAACTACCTCAGGTTTGAGGAAACAGTTCTGTAAAGGGAGGAGACTTGGTAAGTACCAGTAAAAATTGTCAACTACTGTATATTTGGTTCGAGAGGTCAGTAGAGGAATGTCATAATTAACCATGACAACGGCATTTACAGAAAAGCCTTTTTGCAAAAAGAAAATGACTTCGGAAAACTAACTAGAGGCATACGTCAAAAAATACACAGATCTAAGCCCTCCATATGATAAGCGATGACGAATTTATTGGGAAGCATAATGTGCCTCTAAAAAAATCCTGTAAAAGTAAATACACAAAACTGATAAAGAACACGTGCGTAACCAAATAAAAATGATAATTTTCATATCACCACATAATTAAGCAGAAATTCTGAGACGGCCAACACACCAGGAAATGGAACGGATAACGGCAAGGCGTTACGGCTGGCAACAGACCAGTCCAAAGGAACACTGATGATTTGATTTTTGGCCTTAGGTCAACGACTAACTGATAATATTGAGCTGTTAAATGTGTCATGCAAATTAGCTATCTTTTGATCGCATAAATACAACTTCTTCCAGATAACGGGACAAATAATGCAGAAGAAGTGGAATTCGAAGTCAGCAAATGGAATTCCAGAAGTTTGGGAGAGCTGAATGGTGGAGAACTGCTTTGTCACGTACCGCAAAAATGGCAGGGGTTTGAGCAGAGTTCTCAAAGGTTGGATAAAGATCAACAATTGATCTTTGACCACGTGCCAAGAATCGTATCAGTGCGCTCTACGCAAATCAGTTACTGCGCGACAACTTCGGCGGATTCGGGGGGAGGCCGGTGTGGGTTAACCGGTGTTGTTATTTCAGTGGTTAACCGAAATTTTAACGAGTTTCTGTTTCTTAGTGGCTTTTGCGGGTCTGAATCATTTAATGCCTAATTTTTACACAGAAACTTAGTTAGTGGTCAAAAGTCAGTATCGAGATCAAAATTTGTTTTTGCTGGTTTCAGCATGCCCTTTACAAAGTTTGACGATTTGTTTCGCTTGTCAGAAGGGTTGTTTCTTGTTAAAATTTCAACTTTATAATCTACTTGTGATGTTAACGTCACTGGCTGTCTTTTTTTATTATTTTCTGGCAATGACTTAGTAATGTATGTGCTTTTACTTAGCTCGTCTAAAGTTTTTTCTTTTCCTGGTGTTACAAATTTCAAATGCTTGTTTTCTCCCCTGTCTTCTTTTTCTGCAGTCGGTGTGGCTTAGCGACATGTTAATTTGAAGGTTAAGCCTTTGGTGTACCGTTTTACTGTTTATGGAGGACCGTTAAGATATAGCCTTTTATAGAATGGCAAAATTTCAGAAGGTAAGAAGCTGCTTCTAAACAGATGATCATTCAGAGTAGTCGGGATATTTAGGCTGTCGCAGACTGTAAAGAAAATGTGATTGTTCAAATGAACCATATGAGTAAGAGTGGAAGTAAAAACATGCGGTAATTTATCAGTGTGAGAGCTGCTTTTGAAAAGAACGCAAATTTCAAGTACAGGTGTCGAGTGAAATAGTAGTTTTCTCTTGCATTGGCGTTATTGCTGATTCAAAAACAGACACTGTAAATTATTTGTTGTTTGCGATCTCGGATGTTGTTTGGTTTGTTTATGTGAACTTAGAAGGCCGCTACAAGTGGCCTAGTCACAAATCGTTTTAAGTTGAAGCTACTGCAGCACAAAACTTCTTAGTGCAACACCGTAGTTGTTACAGTGGGTTCGTCATTCGCCAACTTCTCCTTCTGTATATTTTAGTTTGATATTGCAAGCAACTGTTTCAATAGAGTCCTTATTGTTTGCTCTGGATGCTATATCACGTCATATAACCTTTCCGGTCGGGACTCGTTTAAAAAATGCTTTATTTCCACGAAATTCGTTAGGAAACAAATTCTGCATTAATTTCTATTTCTTTTTCAGCCATTACCATGGGGATAGTTATACCGCTAGCATCTGTTTCTGGGTTTTGGGTTCTTGTGGCTTTATGTTCGTTACTAGTTCCCAAAGGGCCCAACCGAGGTGTGTTTGTTACAACTTTTCCACCGAATTTGTTTTATCGAAATGACAGTTGACTAGTTCCACATAAGAAATGGCCACTTTTTGTCATTTCACAATTCATCTGCTTCTTTCCCTTTTTTTTACCATCATTCGTTAGTCTGAGCTTAATGGAATTACTGTACGTGATTCTTTCAGGTATTATTCAAACAATGATTATTTTAACTGCTGCGTGTTGTTGGCTTTTTTGGATATTAGTTTATTTACATCAGCTCAACCCTCTTATTGGACCTCAAATACCAGTAAGAACGATCCGGTGGATAAGCGAGAAATGGGGAGATGCTCCAGAACTAGTTGATAAATAGAATATATGTTTATTGCTCCACAGTTCAACTGCTTAATTTCTGTGATTTTCCACATGTAAAATATATAAGTTTATAAGTCCCGAAATTTCATTCCGATCTCTAGGCATTGCCAACTGTTCTACACCTTGTAAGCTGCTCCCTAATACATTAATTTCGAACTGCTCGGCAAGGAACACTGTAGAAAAGTAGTACCCTGCAGTTTTCTTGTGATATGGGATTAAATAAGTGTTTCTTTTTTGTCGTGATCAAGAGTGATTTGTTCCCCGAAATGGTCATTTCTGTCCATGGCTGGTTGTAACTTAAGTAAAGTCAGAATGATTGTCCTTTGTTCTCACTTGCCGCGAGCTAATTTTATAAATACTGGAAGATTTACCGCTTATTTGGTTCTACAATCCCTTCACATTTCTTCTCGCCAAGTTGCCTACACGGGAGCTTTAATTCGCTTTTTAGACCGTTTTATCCATCCCAGCAGTATTTTATTTCGCTTTTATAGCAGTATTTTTTGGAATTTTTGTAGTAGAAGACTCTGTTAGGTGCCAAAAATAGCATCCTTACATTCAACTAATGGTCAAAGATTGGTGTCCTCTTACTGTCAAAGAACTATGTGACATTGGATAACACAAATTTTTTTGCCCCGTAATGAGTTTTTACCGGTAGTTGTGATATCAAGAAGAAGAGACTTTGTCTGACAATTTGAGGGAGCCACATATGAATAGAGAAACCGAACCAGAATGCAATGTTTGCTAACCAGCCTACACAGGTCCAATTTTTAGAGGTTTTACACAGGTATAAATGGACAGTTGCCAATGAGCACCCTGGAATTAGTAGCCCACAACAAGGGCGTGCTTTTATCATCTGAAAAGCAATACGCTGACGAACGGCAAAAGTTTAACCACCAAGTGACGTGCATTTCCCTCTTAATTCAGAGAAAAAAGCGATATTACTTCAAGTAAAAATGCAGCCAGGTTTATCAACGTTGTGGAAACCCGCTTTATCATTATTGCCTCCAAGAAAAAAAAAACAGCATTGTTTCAACTGATTCCAGATAATAAAGATGATCAGAACGTACAGGCTTGGTGACGCAAATTTAGAGTTCCGGTGCAGTCAGAACCCGAACAAATATCTAGAATAGTTTAAGGACCTGCACTGAAATATAATTATGAAGAATAAATTTAAAAATGGCCGGGTTCCCTTCAACCCATCTAATCTTACTGGTGAAATCAGAGGATAAGCCTTAATGCAATGGTAAGGTGATGCAAGCTCGATTTTCAAGAAAATATCTCTTATATTAATGTTTTAAAGTGAATCCTTTGAACTAGATAAAATCGAGAAGCCCTCATCTAGGCAGAAGTAAAAGGATGATCAAACTTTAGGAGCGCTGTAAAATTCGTAGTGCGGTTCACACTCGACAAAATTGGGAAATTTTTTGTTTACAAAATGAAGCGCTGTGTCGTTGAAAGCAAAAAGACTCCCTTCATAATTTGGAAGTGGAACAGATACGCAAGCATCCCTATAAGCAACAACAGCAGAAAGTTCATGCTCATATTTAGGGTTGACATAAAACTTGACAAGATCATTTCCAAAGATTATGATATGTGAAATAAGGTCCCTCGAGCGGTGTGCATAGATTACATTATTATATAGTGAGATGTCGCAGTGAGGCATGTAAAATAACGTGAAACATTTAGGATTTGAAGAGGCAGTGCTTTCACTAAGCATGGTAGCTTCTTGCCACTGGATACCCTGTGAGTGCAGCCAAACCTGCAAAGCAAAGTAATCAGTTTTTCCTTTTCCTTCCAAAAGTTACGCTTAAAAATTTGCAAACTTAGTAACCCCGACAGATATAAAAACAGTGACGTAACACTGTTTTGAAAATTTGCGGAGATTTGCAGTGGCATTACTTTTTCATTATCAGTAGCAACTGGTTCCTGAAATGTAACTTCACAGTTGAAATAGTGCTTCAGTAAAACGAGCAGCGCCAACTGATGACAACCATAACTGTGTGTTCCTTTTAAGCAGAAGTGCCCAACACCAACTGCCCTTATTTGACTGACATAACAATCACTTCCGGCATCTGCGAGGATAGCAGATATAGAATTCACAACGAACTGTCTCAAAAAAATGCAATAAAAACCTTTCAGCAAAGAATTAACTCTTCAAAAAGAATAACAGAAAGCTTGAAACGCCAGAATGTTGATGTATAAGAAAACAAGAGATAAATACCGAAAACGTGAGTTTTCCATTTTTTTGAAAGCGTGCTGCATTAAGGTCTCAATTTCTTCAACTGATACATCATTAAATATGTCTACATAAACGGACGATCGAACCCCACTTACTTTTTTCACTTTACGCCCACCCTTAACAAGTTGGAAGCCATCACTCTCCATTTCCTAAAAAGCATGATACCAGCATCAAAAAATAGCTATCAACCATTAGGACTTTGCCAAAATCTATTTCTTACATAAACAAAAAACCTGTTTGTTAGTTGAACCTACATGAGTGCACTCGCCAACCTACACTCGCCAATTCACAAAAATTTCGTGTACGAAAATTATACCAAAGCAAGAAGCGACGCGGTAGCGGAAAGTGTGCTTTCGTCTTTTCAACTTTCCATTGTAGCAATAAGCGGTGGGCTTGAGGGTAAAAAGTCAATAGAGTTCATCAATAAAACGGAAAAGGCAATCAGTTCCTTAAAAACGTTCAAGAGAACGTAAGAATGACTTTTCAAACCTCTAGGACGACATGACTCAGATACGGCAACACACGGTCACCACAAAAAAGCCTTTATTAAGTCCAATTAAAGTGAAAAACACTATAGTAAAATGACTAGGGATTTATGAAGGATTCGGAAGTGAGAATAACAGCAGTGTACATTACTGGACAGCGTAGATAATCAATTGATCGGCCTTTTAAACAACCAGTGGTAGCTTGTACAACTTATGCATTTAATATTACTGTCATCAAGGAAAAAGTACGAATACCAATAACTTTCCATACAAGAAATTTACCTAACTTTCTCAGTGCGTAAAATATCATAAAATTTTCAAGCAGAATCGTTTAGTAATATCTGAAATCTCTGTAAAATGTTTTTCCAAATTCCACGGGGCAAAAATTAGACCGACAACTACGAATTAGAATTACCTAATAGTTCAGTCTTCTCCAAATTTCCTGAACTCAGCATAAAGCGAATCTATCCTCATGAAACTCTGGTTAACAATTCAAAATTACAGAAAAAAAAGGAGCTAGAATGAGGCATTCCGATCCTTTATACTTCACAAAGTGGATGAATTAGATGAAGAATCTAAAGAACCTCGGCAATCCCACAGTGAAGTGGCGACTTGCCAACGACGGAGGTTTAATTTCGCTGCGTGAATCAAGAAAGGAAGTTCCTCTGCCGAAGAGGAACTGATGTTGTTATAATTGTTAGTATCCCAAAGATAATTGATGCCACTTGACTTATATCAACCTTTAGAACCAATTGCGAAATAATAAATGTGCCTTATCAACTCTTCCATCTGTTCTCGGCACCAATTTTACTCCAAAGTTTTATTTGTGCAAACTGATATGTAAATCACGGTTTACACGAAGTGAAAGTTGGCACTTCGGACATAGGTTCGGGAAATTTGGACGCATGGTAGTCATCATTTTGGGGATTTCTTGACGATTAATAATCGGTCAGATCTTAGATCTCCAAAACATTAATACTGCAGAAACAACA